TCACAAACTTTTGCGTTCGCGAACGCCGGATCGGGCGACGAACAGGATCCGTGGCCATCTTCCCTCCAGTGACACATGGTTGCGGCTTCCTGTAGGGAGCGGGGCTCTCCCTCCAAGCAATATCCGCCTCCCCACCCGTCTTCCTGTCCTCCATGCCAGAAGTCACGTCGAGCAAGGTTAGCTTTCTCTCTCTTCGTGCTGTACTTTGTGTCATATTTTTGCGGTTTAAAAAAACAACAACATATGGTTCAGAACGGATTAACCGTATTTACATTGAACCTTATGGGGAAATTTGATTCGGGACGCGATCAAAAATCGGTTGGCGACCAAATTCGGAGGGGTCAGAACGGATTAACCGTATTTACATTGAACCTTATGGGGAAATTTGATTCGGGACGCGATCAAAAATCGGTTGGCGACCAAATTCGGAGGGGTCAGAACGGATTAACCGTATTTACATTGAACCTTATGGGGAAATTTGATTCGGGACGCGATCAAAAATCGGTTGGCGACCAAATTCGGAGGGGTCAGAACGGATTAACCGTATTTACATTGAACCTTATGGGAAAATTTGATTTGGTTCACGACCAATTCAGTTCGCGACCAGAGTCACAGAACGAATTAAGTTCATGAACTGAGGTACCACTGTAATTAGATATTCTGTTTCCATCTAATGCCAAGTACCCTTTCCTCTGTTACTGGCTTGCAGACTTATAATCATAGTTTAATTTGAAACATTACATTTTTAGATTAAATTGTACTTCTATACCTTTAATGCTCTTAAAGGGGAATGCTTTGGTGGTAACTAAATTCTTCATTAGCACTTGGAAAAAGATAGATTACAATGTACTAAAGATACAATCTGCATTTCTGGATCTGTTCAAATTGAAAAAGTTGAAGGCTCCAAATTTCTAGGTCCAGATAATAATTATGAGGCTACTACACTTCAGAATCTATGGTTAATTTTAACTTACCACACAAAGTGATGTTCTGGATGCATCTTAAGAAGGCCAGTGAAGGAAAGTAGTAAATGTTAAAGCTCAAGCTAAATTGGTAAGAAATGGATTCATGAACTGAAACCTACTTCCAACCTAGTTATATAAAAATAAGGGGTTAGGGTTTCTGTGAGAAATGCTTGCCTCTTCATAGCTTAACTCCATGAGTACTTTCTTTCCAATTCTCACTACTGAGAAATCCTCATATACAAGCCTAGTTAAAAATATTTGGGAGGGCAGACTATGTAGATAAATTATACAGTGGTACCTCTACTTACGAACTTAATCTGTTCCGTGACTCTGATCGCAAGTCAAGTTGGTCGCAAGTCGAAGTAAATTTTCCCATAAGGTTCAATGTAATTACCGTTAATCCATCCCGGCACCCGCGGACCACGCGTCAGGGGCGGAAAAACGGCCGCGGACCACGTGGAACGGGCGGAAAATGGCCGCGGACCACGTGGAACGGGCGGAAAATGGCCGCAGATCCGGTTCGTAAGTCGAGGCGAGTTCGTAA